AGGAGGTCATCTCGTTTACACGCGGTACAGGAGAGAAGGAGGGAGTGGGGAGGGGGGTTGTCCCTTCCTGGATGTGCAACCTTCATGCTAGCCTGCACCGCTGGGAGAGGCCGGAGGATGAAGTGGAGAGTGAAGAGCGTGCAAACCAAATGACACACTTTGCACGGATTAAGTGTTAGAGTAAACATGGATGTCGTGAGTCGGGACGGGAAACAGGGAGGAATGCGCTCCGCGGTCTCCTTGGCGAAGCCCCTATCATGTCACCACAGTTGTTCGCTTCTGCTCAGCTGTGTGGCGCTGGTCCACGGTGTTGGACACGTTCTCAGTGACCAGGGTGGTTCCAGATCCAAATCACAGGCAATAAACTGAGGGAATCTGGGAGAAGATGAGACCAGAACGAAAACCAATTTAAGAACCAAATTCATCAGTGCAGATCCAAGGATGCTAGAATCTTTAATGGAATATATGGTGTAAAGACTGTGGACAACTTTGTGTGTCTGATATCAGTACGCCAACCTTGAGGGTCTGCTGAGGTGGATACTTGTCCAGTTCCTTCATTTATCATCACTTAACTTGTATATTTAAAAATGGACTTGCACAGAAGTATATCCTTAGTTTTCTTAAAGACATTGAACATGCAACAAATGTCTGACACCACTGGTTAGAGCCACACAGTGAATCAGTTTGTTGAGACATTGAGTGCAGTTTCTGCCCCTTCAGACACTTTAGTTGCGCAGGGTAGACTCTGCTGTGATACTGTTCTGTTCCACAGAGCTGGATGACGTGATGACGTGATGGCGTCTTGGGCTAATTCCGGTCGTACCGTCACATTCCGATTGTACCGTTCCTTCGGTTTTCTTGAACCTGTGATGAACCTCTGTTTAGACTTCTGTCGACCAGAACTTCATTTGCACAAAGTACACAACTTTACCTGCACAGAGATATAGTTTGTTGGGTGACTGTCCTGCCTGCAGTCCAGATATCATCCCATTGAAAAGGTCTGGTGTATAATGAAGAGAAAGATCAGACATACACTGACATAACTGGCAAAAATTCTGCTTGCAATTTTACAACAGAGACTGCATCCCAGTGAGTGCACCAACTTTTCTGGAATGGTGGCTGATACCATCTCAATGGGTTTAAAGGACTTCCTCCTGTCTTTCATGCCCCCTGAACACAGAGAAAGTAATTCAGAAAGAAAGATAAAGCCACACAACTCTGCGCCCAGTACTATACCATCTGGCTGCGGCCCAAGCTAGCATGCCACAAAACAATTGCATTCATTAGCTTAATTTATCATGGCGGTAAGCTCAATTTACTTTTGCCTGTGCGAGCGTGGCTCATTAAGATTCAGTCTGCCGTTTCCCCGGGCCGTCTCGTGCTCATTCACACAGAGTTCACGCGTTTCGGACCAGATAGGAAGCACTGCAGGGTTATCTGGCCCGACCGAACGTGTTTAAATAAAGGCAGAAAAAAGAAAAAAGAGGTGGAGTGAGGGATTATGGTGGAAGGAGACGGAGGAGAGTGTCAGCGCAGGAGTGAATTGAAGGAGAATGCCGTTGAGGAGTGG